TTTTTGTGAAATGTCTTTGTGTTGGCTTGTGCTTAACCACAGTAGACCCTTGTGACCTTACATGTTTGGGTAATTGTTACCGAGAGCGACGGCCCCCTTCAGAGACTGAGTTCAAAAATGAGATTTTTTTGAAGTTCCTCTACCAACGATCTTGGGGGATGCTGTGGGGAACCGGTGGGTTGAAAGGGGGGAGGGGATAATGGATGGCGCTGGAGTCGATAGAAACCTGCAGAAATCGAAGAAAGTGATTTAAGAAACGGAAAAAAGTAGATTTTTTCGAAAAACCGAGCCAAATTTCCGTCCCGAAAAGCACAAAAAACGATGGAAAATCGGCCTGTGAAAACTATACGGAATCCCCGCCACATTTGAAACTATACGGACCGGCGCGCCAATTTTCGAAAAAAACTCTACGGGAATCAAATCCAGTCAATCGGTAAAAATCTACGGGATTCAGATAATCCAAGATTCCCCTGGGTAATCGTTACAAACGTCCTAACCAATAAACCAACCTAAACCTAACCCGTGAGATTTATACACTTACGATTATTTATTCATAGCCAGGGGGCTCTGCCCCCTGGACTCCCCGTGGTATTAAAATGCGCCTAGCCAGGGGCTACGCCCCCTGGACCCCCTAGTAACTAATAAACATAGAATAACTAATCTAACCTAGCCTAGCCTAACCTAGCGAACCTAGGCCTAACCTAACCTAGCTAGCCTAAACTAGCCTAGGCCTAACCTAGCTAATTAGACGCGCCTAGACAGGGGGCTACGCCCCCTGGACCCCGTAGACTATGTCGTGCCTAGCCAGGGGGCTTCGCCCCCTGGACCCCCGTGGTTTTTAATATAATAATACGATCTCTATATTCCCTAGCCAAAGGGGCCTGCCCTTAACCCCCCAGGGTTTTTAAAACCACATACCTTTAATAGCGAAAGACGAACTTTTCTTGCCTTCCGTCTATGGTCCGAATTCCTGTTTCTAATCATTTTTTCGATATTTGGGGCCTTATTTGGGCTCATGATCAGCTGAGATAGACACTAATATCTATTGGTTTCATATATCCCACTATATGGCTTTAAAATGACCAGAATCGACGCAACACACCTAAAATGGACACTTCCCACTGGTGTTTCGGGACGAATGGCGGCGGACGGAACTGCTCAAATCTCCCGCTGGAAAAAAAGCGCATCATGAGCACAGGGATATTGTGCAAAATTGTGTAAATATTACCAAAACACATAAAAGGAAGTATAATAAAAAAAGTAAAAGAATTCATTAAAATGCATGGTTCGGGAAAAAAACAGACAATGGTAATTACAAAATGGTCCGTTTTCACAAGCGAGTAGTAATACAAGGATCCTTGATAGATCGCAATAATAGATTACGCGTATCACTTTTGTTTTGGTCCTGGCACGGACCAAAACAATGGTTAGTAACAGTTAAGAGGAAAAACTGTTGCATTTCGTGTGACATATTACGATATTTGACTTAGAAGAGAAAAATAAATAAATCTTTATTTTTATTAGTGACTTTAACGTCAATCCAAGTAACGAGACATGGTTTAATATACTTTGGCCATAAAGATAACAATGTTCATCTTATTTGTTAACACTGTCTCTGGCAGCTCGCATAGCATTGACCACGGCTTATGAAGTTGCACTCGAGTCAAGTGGGCGAGGCGCGAAAGGCGGGTGAAACAGCCTCGCGCGCGTGAACAGTGAGTGCGCCCGCTTCGCTAGTGGAAGCGGAGCCCGGGACATTTCATCCAAGTCAAAGGCAGCATCGCAGAGTTCCCCACGTCCTTTGCTCCGTGGTAGAGGAGGCAGGCATGCGGTATGGTAAAGACCCGGCCCTCAACCACTTAGCGCCTACTACAATAACAATAATAAAAAGAAAGGTGATAGTGATAGTAATAGTAATAATAATAATAATGATAATAGTAATAATAGTAATGATAATAGCAATAATAATAATGATAATAGTAATAATAATAATGAATAATAGCTAATAATAATATGCTAATGTAATAATAGTAATGATAATAGCAATTAATAAATTAATGATAATAGTAATAATAATAATGATAATAGTAATAATGATAATAGTAAGTAATGATAATGAATTAATAGTAATAATAAAAGAAATATTGCTAGTGCAATAGTTAATACTAATAATAAAATGTATTAATAGTAATAATAAGATGATATGCTAGTGACAATAGTAATAATAATAGTAATAATGATAATAACAATAATTACTATTAATAGTAATAATAAGAGTAATAGTAATAATCATAATAATAATAGTAATAAAAATAAATAGTAATTAAAAATAATAATTGTAATAATAATAATAAAATCAGTAATATATAAAATATAATAATAATCATAATAATAATAACGATAGTACTAATAATAATAATAGTAATAATAATAAGCATAGTAATAATAATAATAATAGTAATAATAATATAATAGTAATAATAATATAATAATAATAATAATAATAATAATAATAATAGTAATAATAATAATAATAGTAATAATGAATAATAATAGTAATAATAATAATAATAGTAATAATAATAATAATAGTAATAATAATAATAATAGTAATAATAATAATAATAGTAATAATAATAATAGTATTAATAATAATAATAGTAATAATAATAATAGTATTAATAATAATAATAGTAATAATAATAATATAGTAATAATAATACTAATAGTAATAATAATAGTAACTAATAATAATAATATTAATAATCATAATAATAATAATATAATAATAATAATAATAATAATAATAGTAATAGTAATAATAATAATAGTAATAAGAATAATGTACAATAGTAATGATTAATAAATACAACATGATGATAATAAAAAAAGCAATTATTGTTTACAATAATAATATTGTATTGATAATAGTAATATGATAATAAAGAGAAAAAAACAATAGATATAATAACATTGATGATAATGCTAAAAACACTAATGATAATAGCAATAAAAATAGAATAATATTTCTTTATTATGATGATTAATATCTGGAAATGGAGGATGAGGATGATGATAATGATAATATAATTAATAATCATAATAATATGAATAATGATAATGATGATATTGAAAATTATAATGATAATATTGAAAATTATAAGATAATATGAAACTATAAGGCAATAATATTGAAAATTATAATGATAATATTGAAAATTATAATGATAATTTGAAAATATAATGATAATATTGAAAATTATAATGTAATATTGAAAATTATAATGATAATTATGACAATAGTAATACTAATGATGATAATCATAAGACTGGTAATATAGTATGACATTAATTATTTTTAATAATGAAAAGAAAGTTATGGAATAGTAATAAGAACATAATACGCATAAGAATAATAAGAATAACAACAACATATAATAATAATAACAAACAAAGATAGTAATTATATAATAGTGATAATAGTAATACTAAGGATAATACTAATAACAAGATAATTATAATAAATAATAATAATAAAAATGGTAGTAATAGATGTAATATTAACAATAATAATGATAATAATAATAATAATAATCATTATTATTCATTAAAAAAAATTTGAAGATAATAACAATAATGACAATGGTAACATAATAATAAAAAATTAAAATAATAATAATAGTAATAATAAGTTAATGACAATAATAACACTAACGAGAAATGATAATATAATGATAAAAAATAATAATAATAATGACAATAATAACAGTAATAATAATAAAATCACGATAATTAATGACAAGTATGATAATAAGGATGTTCATTAATGATGTGATTATATTCTAACTATAAGCATGATTGTTAATGACTCTTGCCCGCGCCTCAAATATATATATATATAATATATATATATTATAATATATATATAATTATATAATAGGTCATATATACATATATAATATGCATATATAAGTAGATATGCATTATATATTATTAGGAGAAATACACACACACACACACACACACATACACACACACACACATATATATATATTGCTCTTTTCACTGTAATCTCAATTTCACTAATAATCTTTACAAAAATATTCTTTTCATCGATTTGTCAGAATGTTTGCCAGTTTACTTTATATTTCAATCAAAACCAAAGAAGTATTGTTTTCTTTAGTATCTGAGACAGTTGCCATGTGGCTTTCTGTCTTTTTTTCCTAATAGCTCTGTTACATATAAAATTTACATTTCAAAAGAAAAATAGTTTGCTCTACAACCTTTTGTATTGATGCACAACCTTTGTATTGATATGTGCACCTATATGTACACATATGTATATATAAACAATATATGTATATGTATATATATAATATATATGTATATTTATAATATATACTTATATGTATATATAATATATAGCCCAAAACTCAAAGGCCTGCATCAACCCCTTCGATAGTCCCACCGAACCCCAAGGAACAACAACGACCACTTTGCAGACACCTGGGCTAGCCTTCCCTCATCTCCAAAAGCCGGAAAGGAGCACGAGTTCCCTCACTCTGCTTCGCTTCTGATCAGTCGAGTAGAGTTCCCTCGAGCGGAGTCTCTCTGGTTGACGCCCGAAGAAAGGCACGCGCGGTCACTCAGCTGAGACGAATTTATCGGGACAGAAAGTGTGTGAAGAAATAAGGTAAGGTCATGAGATAATTAGTTCAGGTATTTCGTTTTTATTAATATATCCAGGCATGCAAATACGCAGAATGTAATTAAGTGTACACACACACACACACACATATATATATATATATATATATATATATATATATATATATATATATATATATATATATATTTAAATAACATTCAGTATCATATATAATTTCACGAATTATATCATATTATCTAAACTATTCATATCATCATCACACTATTTGATTATTCTGTATTATATCCTAAGTACTTAATTACTCAATAATTATATCCTTAATTATGTCCTAATTACTCAATACTAAATCATTTCAGTATGATCGCAGGAGGGGGAGTAAAATTCGCAGGATAAGATAGGATAGGATAAAAAAAAACAAGACAAAGTTCTTCTACAATATGTGTGTGTGTGCAAATGCTTCCCAAGGCTGCTAATACGTAAAAAAAAGATCCCCAACAAAGATAATATAGGATAGGATAAGGTAAGAAAGAATAGGATAGGATAAGAGAGAGAGAGAGAGAACAACAGAGGAAAAGGGAGAGAGAAACAAATAAACGAGAGAAATGAAAGGGATACCGATACCAAAAAGGAATGAGAGAAAAAGAGAATGATAATAATAATGATAATTTTTTTTAAAAAGCAGAGATAGCGTCATACCCTCTCTCTCATCCCACTCTCCCTTCCCCCTTTTCATTCATCTATTTATCTATTTATTCCATTTATCTATTTAATAGAACTGTCAACGCGAGGGGGGGGGCCTTACCTTCCCTCCCCCCCTCCTCCTCCTCCTTCTCCTACTCCTCCTCCTTCTCCGGATCCTTCGGGGCTGTTTGTCGCCGAAGAAACAATCGAGCGAAAAAAAGGGTCGAATTTCGGTGTCCGTCTGCTGGGTTGTCGTCGATGACGTCATAGGTGTGGGGTGGGGGGTGGAGAGAGAGAGAGAGAGGTGTGAGTTGCCGGTTAAGTGTCTTTTTGGTTTGTGTTATTTTTCTTTTTTCTTTTTCCTTTTAGGGTGGGGAAAGGGGGTCCTTTATCTTTAAGAGTGTTTTTTTTTGTTGTTTTTTTTATAAGGAGGGGTGAAGGGGTTGATTGTTGTTTTGGGGTTGTGATGAGGATAAAACAAGGATTAAATGGGATAGCTGGCAACTGTTGTGCATTTTGACAACTGGATCAAATCCACATTTATGTTGTTTATAAAAA